TTGGAGAAAGAATCAGTAGTACAGCTCCTGAAAGGTCTACACCTTCGAGAGGCCGAAAGAGATTTGTTAGAAATGTACTGGCTAGGGTCATATACTATATCACGAAAAAATAGGAAAACTAGACCACTGAAACTGATATTTATGAATGAAGCTTCTCAAGAATGAATCGAAAATTAATGAATCGAAAAAGATATCTCAGAACAATAAAGTATTTGAAAGGGTTTATCTCGTAAATGACATGAGCAAAAATGAAATAAAAACAAAGACAGAACAGAGAAGGGGCAGGGTAGAGAGAAGGACTGAAGGGAGGAGAGTGTGCAGTAGTCAGCAAAAGGAGTGAGACAAGAGACAGGAAACCTTCAATTCCCCCAGGAAATGTGAGAGCAACACCCACATAGTAGCAATACAGTGAAAGAATATATAAATGGCTAACGTGTCGAACGAACAACTAGAATCCCCAGTATAAATAACAACCTCATATGCCTGACAAGGAACAAAAAACTAGAACACCGCCAGATACTCCCCCAGACCGAACATGCCAGAAGTCCAACATCCCTCTCCAACTATATTTCCTCTAACATCTCCACTCACCCCATACCTAGGCTGAAAACTACACATACAACAATAAATACTCTGATCATCCAGTAAACCAATATCAATTGATTGCCAAATAAAGCAGATGAATTTAAGGAAAGGACTACAGAGAGGAGGTGTTGTGCACTGCTCGTAAAAATACACTGGATCTTTGAAGGGGTTTTCTTTAGAGGTGGCAAACAACTGCAGGGACTGCATTGTGGGAATCATTTGTTGGATGGTGAGAAAGTGGTTGTGGCTATAATCTACAACCACCCCCCCTTTCCCCGAGAATCACAAAAGACTGAGGTACTAATATGACATTACGAACAGAGCATACTTGAATATCTTCCAGGGGGTGACAAACACAGCTCATAGACTGAAAGCAAAGCTCTTTGTAATGAAAGACTTCAGTCATGCCCAAATCGACTGGTAAACAATGTACTTAAGATGAGATGAAACATGGAGAGCAAAGCTTTTTAAAGTAGTAGAGAGGAACTTTCTGATGCAACATGCCAGAGACGAAACATGGAAAAGCTACCAAGCTTTCACCAAACAGCTAGGATGGATCTGGTCTTCACATATAATGATATTGACATTGAAAAATTGAACATGAAATGCCATTAGGAGCCAGTGGCCACTGTGTTTTAGTCTTTGAATACAAAGTGACAATGAAGAGCTCCACAAGACATACCAAAGGGAAATGTACTGGCGAGATACCAGTACATTTCCCTTTGGTATGATAATGTAAGGCTAGCATGCAGGAGAGGGGAATATCAGGTCAGAGAATTCCTGGGGGAGATAGAATGAGGAAGAGAACTCGAGGAAAATCAACACAAGACATGATAGACTACATAAGGGACAAACTCAGAGGAGATGAAGAAAGATTTATGCAACTCTGAGGAATAAAGGGAAACAAACAAATTAGCCCATGGTTCAACAGGAAGTGTCTGGAAGCAAAGATAAGAAGCAAAATAACATGGAAGAAGTATAGAGAGCACAGAGGAGAGGGAAATCACAATGCATACAAAGAGGTCAGAAATGAGTACACATGAATTAGTAGAGTGGCAGAGAAGCAATACGAGAATGACATTGCTTACAAGGCTAATTCCGAGTCAGAGCAGGAGGAAGATGACTGTGAATGATCAGCTAATCAGACTTTACAAGAATGAAGGACGACACCTGGAAAACAATAAGGAGGTATGCGAGGAACATAACGAAAGCTTACAGGAAGTTTTCAAGCTGAAACCTGTTTTGCTACTAGAGCTTAGCAATCCGTCCTCTAAAAATTACGTTGTTTTTCGCTCGTTTGCCCGTATGGCCGAAAATGGACGTAATTTGAAATGAAATCGGCTCACGCCGATTCATTCTTTGGGGCACACATGAGGAACAGAAATGCGAACAAGCCTGAATGGTCCCCAGGCATATTTGCAACTGAAAACTCATACCCCAGAAGTGACTCGAACCCATACTGCCAGGAGCACTATGCAACTGGTGTGCAGGGCACCGTATTCACTCGACCATCACGACCGGATAAAAGCTGAAGGTGTCCTGTACATCAGTTGCATAGTGCTCCTGGCAGTATGGGTTCGAGTCACTTCAGGGGTGTGAGTTTATATATATATATATATATATATATATATATATATATATATATATATATATATATATATATATATATATATATATATGACCGAAAAAGTAAGATTAATTCTAACACAAATTTTCTCAATCTTTCGTACATTTCTTTTCACTGTTGGTGGTAATTCAAAAATCAATTCTCCAAAATTCATTTTTATTTCTAGTCTGACGCGACACTTGAGCGCATTTCGTAAAACTAATTACATTTTCAAAGACTTTAGTTTTCACATACACAACTGAATAGAACTTACACATCTCCGATTTGTTTATATCTACATTTGAGTGAGGTGGATGGGGTGAGGTGGTATTTAATAGGGTATTAACTTCATCAACACAAGACAGAACACGAAACAATGGGTATTGAATAGAAGTGATTGTAGAAAGCCTATTGGTCCATATTTCTTGATGCTTCTATATTGGAGCAGAGTCTTGAGGTGGGTAGAATATAGTTGTGCATTAATTGGCTGTTGATTGCTGGTGTTGACTTCTTAATGTGTAGTGCCTCGCAAACGTCAAGCCGCCTGCTATCGCTGTATCTATCGATGATTTCTGTGTTGTTTACTAGGATTTCTCTGGCGATGGTTTGGTTGTGGGAAGAGATTATATGTTCCTTAATGGAGCCCTGTTGCTTATGCATCGTTAAACGCCTAGAAAGAGATGTTGTTGTCTTGCCTATATACTGGGTTTTTTTGAGCTTACAGTCCCCAAGAGGGCATTTAAAGGCATAGACGACGTTGGTCTCTTTTAAAGCGTTCTGCTTTGTGTCTGGAGAGTTTCTCATGAGTAGGCTGGCCGTTTTTCTGGTTTTATAGTAAATCGTCAGTTGTATCCTCTGATTTTTGTCTGTAGGGATAACGTTTCTATTAACAATATCTTTCAGGACCCTTTCCTCCGTTTTATGAGCTGTGGAAAAGAAGTTCCTGTAAAATAGTCTAATAGGGGGTATAGGTGTTGTGTTAGTTGTCTCTTCAAGAGACGGCCAGCCTACTCATGAGAAACTCTCCAGACACAAAGCAGAACGCTTTAAAAGAGACCAACGTCGTCTATGCCTTTAAATGCCCTCTTGGGGACTGTAAGCTCCAAAAAACCCAGTATATAGGCAAGACAACAACATCTCTTTCTAGGCGTCTCTTCTCTTGAAGAGACAACTAACACAACATCTATACCCCCTATTAGACTATTTTACAGGAACTTCTTTTCCACAGCTCATAAAACGGAGGAAAGGGTCCTGAAAGATATTGTTAATAGAAACGTTATCCCTACAGACAAAAATCAGATGATACAACTGACGATTTACTATAAAACCAGAAAAACGGTCAGCCTACTCATGAGAAACTCTCCAGACACAAAGCAGAACGCTTTAAAAGAGACCAACGTCGTCTATGCCTTTAAATGCCCTCTTGGGGACTGTAAGCTCCAAAAAACCCAGTATATAGGCAAGACAACAACATCTCTTTCTAGGCGTTTAACGATGCATAAGCAACAGGGCTCCATTAAGGAACATATAATCTCTTCCCACAACCAAACCATCGCCAGAGAAATCCTAGTAAACAACACAAAAATCATCGATAGATACAGCGATAGCAGGCGGCTTGACGTTTGCGAGGCACTACACATTAAGAAGTCAACACCAGCAATCAACAGCCAATTAATGCACAACTATATTCTACCCACCTCAAGACTTCGCTCCAATATAGAAGCATCAAGAAATATGGACCAATAGGCTTTCTACAATCACTTCTATTCAATACCCATTGTTTATTGTTCTGTCTTGTGTTGATGAAGTTAACACCCTATTAAATACCACCTCACCCCATCCACCTCACTCAAATGTAGATATAAACAAATCGGAGATGTGTAAGTATGTGAAAACTAAAGTCTTTGAAAATGTAATAAGTTTTACGAAACGCGCTCAAGTGTCGCGTCAGACTAGAAATAAAAATGAATTTTGGAGAATTGATTTTTGAATTACCACCAACAGTGAAAAGAAATGTACGAAAGATTGAGAAAATTCGTGTTAGAATTATTAATCTTACTTTTTCGGTCATATTTAATAATATATGTCTACAGGAAAGACTGCTACCAATATATATATATATATATATATATATATATATATATATATATATATATATATATATATATATATATATATATATATATATATATATATATATTATATATATATAATATATATATATATTATATATATATATATATATATATATATATATATATATATATATATATATATATATATATATATATATATATATAATGAAATTGACAAAGCGTTGTTCAAAGTTAAGAACGAGGAATCATTGATGGAAACTAAAGACGCAAATGAGTCACAGGAACATCAGGAAGAACTTTTTCCGTGTTAGAGCTTACCTTGAGGTGCTTCCGGGGCTTAGCGTCCCCGCGGCCCGGTCGTCGACCAGGCCTCCTGATTGCTGGACTGATCAACCAGGCTGTTGGACGCGGCTGCTCGCAGCCTGACGTATGAGTCACAGCCTGGTTGATCAGGTATCTACATCGATCAGGAGCTGTCAATAAATGGAATAAGTTAGACGCAGAAGCTAATACTATTCAGAATTGTAAATGTAAATATAATACAAGCCCCATAAATGAGTCATTGCATTAACCTAAAAGTGTTCGGAAGGTGAGTCTAGGAGCCTAGCTCAACCTTGCAAGCACATCTAGATGAATACCTAGATGTGCTTGCAGAGTGTACTCATCAAGGTGAGTGCACACACCCACTGACCACTTCTCACTCGCACCAACAGTGGGGGAACGGAGAGCCAAGCAACATCAACAGATGTCGCCAGTGGGAACAATAATGACACCGTCGCGGACGTGTCGGTGAGCGGCGTTCGAGGCCACAAGGGCCTGACTGTAGGCCTGGGCGCCATGTTCCTCGTAGGGGAGATGGCTGGTGCCGGAGTCCTCAACTTACCCCGAGCCATCGCCAACACTTGTAAGTATTTCACTTTTGTCCTGTCATTGAGAGGTGTCGCTAGGGTACCCGGAGTAGGAACCGTTGTAGTGTAAATGAGTGTGAGTGTACCAGTAATTGTCGTTGTTGCCATAGAACCAACGACAATAATAATAATTTACAGGAGCCGCAATGGATTTTCTCAATGATATATCACGTTACTGTGGTTTCTCTGTGAAATAATAATAATAATATTAGTAATAATATTAATAATAATAATAATGGAGAAACTTACCGTAGAAACAATGCCGTAGTGCTTGAATGAAGGTGAAAGAAAGACCAAATATATATGTGTAAGTGTATTACAACACAAATTTTCCGATATAATCTACGTCCTTTCTCAAGGTGCTGTATACAATGTCCTGAATCTGATACTCGAAGTTTGTGTTGATATGTCTGGCAGAGCGGCTCACTTGGCGTCCATCATTATACGTCTTTGTCATCATCCTCCCCAGGTCTCCCCAGGGACTCCCAAGGGACTCCCAAGGGACTCCCAAGGGACTCCCCAGGTCTCCCCAGGGGCTCCCAAGGACTCCCAAGGGGCTCCCAAGGACTCCCCAAGGACTCCTCAGGGACTCCCCAGGTCCCTCTAGGGACTCCAAAGAGATGTCAAGTTTTCAGTAGAATGCTCAATTACCCTGATTTCAGGGAACTGTGGGCGGGGATTCGCGGAATCGTGGTTCCCACTCTGAGCACCACAAGGTCTGTGTTTATAGGAATTAATGAGACTGATTAATTTTGCTTCCTTATGAATAATTAACTAATTTCATTAATTCAAGAGGATTCGAACCCACACAGAACAAAATTATTAGTCGAAACAGTAACATTATCATCTATGTGTGTGTATGTCTCTCTCTCACTGACTGAAAGAATACTGTTGTGTCCCGCAGGGTGGGTGGGGGTGCCACTGCTGGTGGTGCTGACTGTGGCTGTGGGGTACTCCGGGACCAGGCTGGCGCTGTGCTGGGTGCTGCTGGAGGAGCGCTGGCCGGAGTACAACAGCCCCTGCAGGAGACCTTACCCGGCCATAGCCTTCCGGGCTCTCGGCAAACCTGGGCGGTGAGTAAAAAACCTAGTTGTACTTACCTAGTTGTGCTTGCGGGGGTTGAGCTCTGGCTCTTTGGTTCCATCTCACAACTGTCAATCAACTGGTGTACATGTTCCTGAGCCTTTTGGGCTCTATCATATCTACACTTGAAGCTGTGTATGGAATCAGCCTCCACCACATCACTTCCTAATGCATTCCATTTGTCAACCACTCTGACACTAAAAAAGTTCTTTCTAATATCTCTGTGGCTCATTTGGGCACTCAGTGTCCACATGTGTCCCCTAGTGCGTGTGCCCCTTTGTATTAAATAGCCTGTCTTTATCTACCTCTATCAATTCCTTTGAGAATCTCGTATGTGGTGATCATGTCCCCCTCTAACTCTTCTGTCTTCCAGCGACGTGAGGTTTAATTCCCGTAGTCTCTCCTCGTAGCTCATACCCCTCAGTTCGGGTACATAGTTTGATGGCAAACCTTTGACCTTTTCCAGTTTAGCCTTATGCTTCACTAGATATGACTTCATGCTGGAGCTACATACTCCAGGATTGGTCTGACAAATGTGGTATACAAAGTTCTGAATGACTCCTTACACAAGTCTCTTAAGGCCATTCTTATGTTGGCCAACCTGGCACATGCCGCTGATCTTATTCTCTTGATATGGGCTTCGGGGGACAGGTCTGGCGTAATATCAACCCCCAAGTCTCTCTCTCTCTCTCTCTCTCTCTCTCTCTCTCTCTCTCTCTCTCTCTCTCTCTCTCTCTCTCTCTCTCTCTCTCTCTCTCTCTCTCTCTCTCTCTCTCTCTCTCTCTTTGACTCTTGAAGAATTTCATCTCCCAAATGATACCTTGTATCTGGTCTCCTGCTCTCTACACCTATCTTCATTACATTACATTTGCTAACTACCATTTGTTCGACCATTCCTTCAGTTTGTTCATTTCTTCTTGAAGCCTCAAGCAGTCCTCCTCTGTCTTAATCCTTTTCATAATTTTGGCATCGTCTGCAAACATTGAGAGGAATGAGTCTATACCTCTGGGAGATCATTTACGTATATCAGAAACAGGATAGGTCCGAGTACAGAGCCCTGTGGGAATCCACTGGTGACTTCACGCCAGTCTGAGGTCTCACCCCTCACTGTAACTCTCTGCTTCCTATTGCTTATACACTGGAGCACCTTACCAGTTATTCCTGCCTGTTTCTCCAGCTTATGTACTAGCCTCTTATGTGGTACTGTGTCAAAGCTTTCCGATAGTCCAAGAAAATGCAGTCCGCCCATCTTCACATTTTTGCTTTATCTTTGTCACCTGATCGTAGGATTCTATCAAGCATGTGAAGCAAGATTTACCCTCCCTGAACCCATGTCGGTGGTTTGTCACGAAGTCCCTTCTCTCCAGATGTGCTACTAGGTTTTTTTTTCTCACGATCTTCACCATCACCTTGCATGGTATACAAGTTAAGGACACTGGCCTGTTGTTTAGTGCCTCTTGTCTGTCACCCTTTTTGTATATTGGGACTACATTAGCCGTCTTCCATATTTCTGGTAGGTCTCCCGTCTCCAGTGACCTACAATACACTATGGAGAGTGGCAAGCAAAGTGCCTTTGCGCACTCTTTCAATACCCATGGTGAGATTCCGTCTGGACCAATAGCCTTACTCACGTCCATATCCAACAGGTGTCTCTTGACCTCATCTTTTGTAATTTCGAACCCTTCCAAGGCCGCCTGGTTTACTGCCACCTCTTCTAGCGCAGTGACCTCACCTTGTTCTATTGTGAAGACCTCATGGAACCTCTTGTTGAGTTCTTCACACACATCTTTGTCATTCTCTGTGTACCTGTCCTCACACGTTCTAAGTTTCATCACTTGTTCCTTCACTGTTGTTTTCCGCCTGATGTGACTGTGGAGTAGCTTTGGTTCGGTCTTGGCTTTATTTGCTATATCATTTTCATTGTTTTTCTCTGCTTCTCTTCTCACACTAACATACTTATTTCTGGTTCTCTGGTATCTCTCTCTCTCTCTGCTTTCTGGTGTTCTGTTATTTCTGAAGTTCCTCCACTCCCTTTCGTACAGTTCCTTTGCTTCCATACATGCCCTATTAAACTACGGATTCTTCTTTTGCTTCTCGGATTTTTCCTTTTGGGCTGGAATAAACCTGCTTATTGCCTCCTGACACTTTTGTGTGACTTAGTCCATCATGTCTTGTACGAACTTAGTTGTGAGTTCTGTGTCCCATGGTATATCCCTTAGGAAACTTCTCATCTCCTCATAATTTCCCTTTCGGCATGCCAGCCTTTTGTTTCCTAGTTATTTTCTTGGGGAGATAAATCCTAGTTCTACCAGGTACTCAAAGATCATTACAGTGTGATCACTCATTCCCGGTCTCTCTCAGAGGTCGTAAACCTTTATTGTTAACAACACGCACAAGGAGAGATCCTCTTCGTTCTATCGTTCCTCTTCGGTCGTGAGGTGTCTCAGTCTCCCATTGACGACCGAAGAGGAACGACCGCCTCCTTGTGTGTGTTGTTTACGATGAAGGTTTACGACCTCTGAGAGTGACGAACACGACCTTTGGGTGTATCTGCGCCTGGTGCCTGATGAGGTGTATGATGTGGCATCTGCGTAGTATTTGCGGGGTTTACGATGGATATCTGCGGGGGTATCTGTAGAGTATCTCCATTATAACTGATGTGTACCTGTATAGCGTATAGGATATATTCCCACGACCTCTGTGTCATCATCGTACTCTCGTGTGTTCTCAGCGAGTCATGTGACCCACTTAACCCCTCCCCCCCTACCCTCCAGTCTCCTCCAACACTCCCCCCTGCTCCCTACCTCCCTCACCCGGTCATTCAATATCACTCCCAAATTACACGACGATCAAAGCCGAACAGGTGAAGTCTCTCCTCTTCTTCTCTTCCTTCTCTCCTCTGTTTATCTCCTCTCCCTCTTATCTCTTCCCTCGTACCGTAATTGACATGTGGGAGGCAAATGAGCAGTTCTGTGTTGAGTTAATTGCCATCGTCACGACACAACAGCTATTCCACCTCTAATTGCCTCCCATTCCCAACAGACCTCTGTGCCACCCACCCACTCGGTCACCAGCCCTCTTTGCCACCCACTCCACCACCCACCCTCTCTGCCACCCACTACTCCATTCACCCTCTCTCCCACCCACTACACTACCCACTCTCTCTGCCACCCACTCCACCACCCACCCTCTCTGCCACCCACTACACCACCCACCCTCTCTGCCACCCACTCCACATCCCATCCTCTCTACTGGTAACCCACCCGACCTCCCATTATCTTTGTCACTCCCCCCCACATGCACCCTCTCCCCCCCAACGTGTCACTCTTTCTCACATCAATCAACCCTCCCCCCCCCATCCATTCCCCCTCCCCCCCTCATCCATCCACCCTTTCCCAGGAACTATGAGCAGTTCGTCATTTATCTGCCGTGCGTTAGAGGTAAGGGAGGGAGGGAGGGAGGAAGAGACGAAGGGAATGAGAGAATGAATGAGGAGGTAAGTTAGGAGGCGAGCAGGGTCGAGAGTAGGAGGATAGGAGGGAAGGTAGAAATAAAGGAAAGGAAGGTAGTGAGGGAGGAAAGATGAATGCCACACCTCAGACCAATAAGTAAGTTACTAATATGCGTGTACAATGAACAAATTGTAGTAGTGTAGTGTAGTGTAGTGTAGTGCGTGTACAATATATATTCCTTAAGGATTTCAGTGAAACATGCTTGTAAATCAAGCTTACAATGCTGCCATCACAGAGGTAACGTGAGTCACAAGACAGCCGTTGTGGCTGATCTGCTTGTCCGTGCAGCGTTGCCAGCGCAACGCCAGCAAGCACAGACAATAAGCCCAAGACATCACCACCTCTCCGTCCCCGGCTCACTCCTTCACATAGACGGAGCAGCCAGCTCACTTCTGGTGCTCTAGGTAGCTTGACACACTCTGCTGCATGTATTGCAAGGTCTCCATATACTTAGTAATAAGGTCTACTACCAAGATATCGGTCACTGGGGTACTTTTCACCCACTGCTCGATTTCTAGACCTCAAAGGTCTGAGACTTGCCCATGGTTGGTGTAAGTATACACAGTAGCCAGTGTAGGAACACCTTACCCCAGACACACGGTGACTTACACTGTTCACCAGCCATCTTGAGTCTCAGCTAATGTTACCACTAAGACGTTCCTCTTACTCGGCGTTGCCACTACACTACACATCCCACTCTCTCTGCCACCCACTACACCACCCCACTATATATATATATATATATATATATATATATATATATATATATATATATATATATATATATATATATATATATATATATATATATATATATACATGTATATATATATATATATGTATATATATATATATATATATATATATATATATATATATATATATATATATATATATATATATATATATATATATATATATATATATATATATATATATATATATATATATATATATATATATATATATATATATATATATAACTGAAAACTCACACCCCAGAAGTGACTCGAACCCATACTCCCACAACTGGTATGTACAGGGACGCCTTAATCCGCTTGACCATCACGACCGGACATAAGGAAGTGATAGCCGAGGCTATATGAACCACTTCCCCGCCGGCACTCGGATGGTAATCTTGGGCATAGCATTTTATCAAATCACCTCATTCTTTCAATCACCTCATATATATATATATATATATATATCGTACCTAGTAGCCAGAACTCACTTCTCAGCCTACTATTCAAGGCCCGATTTGCCTAATAAGCAAAGTTTTCCTGAATTAATATATTTACTATAATTTTTTTCTTATGAAATGATAAAGCAACCCTTTTCTCTATGTATGAGGTCAATTTTTTTTATTGGAGTTAAAATTAACGTAGATATATGACCGAACCTAACAAACCCTACCTAACCTAACCTAACCTATATTTATAAGTAAGGTTAGGTTAGGTAGCCAAAAAAAGCTAGGTTAG